CGTGCTCCATGCCGTACAGCACACAAAAGTCTGCTAAATGTCTATAAGTAAACGGTGGTCCATTGTCAGTCACTAGTGTTTCTGGGAAACCGTAGCGACTATAAAGTTCCCTAAGGATGGTGCTGGAAGCCGATGTCAAGGTACTTGGCATCTGGAAAATTGTGCTATTTTCTGTATGGCTCGATAATGATTAAAAGGTCCCGTCCCTTGATCGCCCTGCAAAATCAAGGCGAACCATGGTTTTGTAGGCGTCGGCCAAGAGTACAGCTCGCATCTCCTTACTGATTTAGCTGGTGTGGCACACTTTGAACACGAACATATTAAATCCACAATTTGAAAATCCATGGGCAACCAGCATACCTAACTTCTTACTGGAGCTTTAATTCTCTTGGAGCTTGGATGTCTAGCATGAAACTGTCGTAGGATCTTGGATTGTAGTTCAACCGGGATGATGACGCGTTCGCTAAACGGACTACAGCCCTGGACAGTGGTTAATTCATTCCGAACTGCGTATTAGAAATTTTTAATGACCATTTCGAATGATGTAGCCTGCTCACGAGTTCAACGAGTACCGCTCCAGCCGAACTTAACAGCCTGGACTGCAAAATTGAGGATGTGCGCAAGCTTCTAGCAAATCTTGACGGGATAAAGCCTGCTGGACCAGATGGTATACACCCACTGATCCTCAATTCCCTATCGGCCATCATCGCGCCTTCTGTAACTGAACTGTTTAACAGGTCACTATCCACTGGACTGTTACCAGACGACTGGAAATACTCAGTCGTAAAGCCTATACCGAAAGGTGGTAACCCAAGTAAAGTGGCTAACTACCGACTGATCTGCCTGACTGCTGTTTTGGCAAAAACGCTCGAGAAGATCATGAAGAAGAACCTTCTGCAGCTTCTCGAATCGAAAAACCTGTTGACCTCCTCGCAGCATGGTTTCATGAAAGGTGGCTCGTGCATCACCAACCTACTGTTGACAAGGCACGAGTGGTTAAAAGCGATTAACCAAAGCCATTCAGTCGATGTCATTTACATTGACTTCAGTAAGGCTTATGACAAGATTAACCATGCAGTGCTCCGTGACAGGCTGAGAATGTACGGTGTTGGTGGTTCGCTACACAAATGGATCAGAAATTTCCTTGTGGATCGGAAGTGGAGAGTCCAGGTGGACAACCATCTAACGGACTGGTATTCATCGAGCAGCGGCGTGCCCCAAGGCACTGTACTGGGGCCGATATCGTTTCTGATCCGTGTAAACGATGTGCCTAAGCTACTCCAATCACCATGTGCGTTGTTCGCAGATGACTTGAAGGTGTGGAGAGTAATCCGCACACTCAATGATTGTGATTTACTTCAGCAGGATCTCGACAGCCTCTCAACATGGTCTACAGAGGTTAACCTTCCGATCAACCCTGTTAAGTCGCAATTCATGAGGTTGGGTAAATGCGAGCACAGCCGAACGTACACAGTAGCTGATCAACCGCTGCATCACGCGTCTTTTGTGCGCGACCTCGGTGTGCTCTCACGCTGCGACCTAAAGTCCATTGACAACACGAATAGGCTGTACCAAAACAGCCTACGGATGCTTTGGGCGCTCAGGCGCAGCTTCAGCACTTGGTCGGAAGAGATTGCCACTCGCCTCTTCGTCTCGATAATGCGACCAATGCTAGAGTACGGCTCTCCCGCATATTGTCCCATCACGCTGGGCGAGATAGAAGAGCTTGAGCGGGTGCAGCATGTAGCCACTAGGCTGATTCCCAACTTACGAGGTATGCCGTATGAAGACCGATGTAAGAAACTAGGGCTGTACACCCTAGCATATCGTCGGCTGAGGGTTGACCTAATCATGACGCACCGGATATTACATCTGAGTGATTACCCCATGTTGAGACAACTGCTTCATCTGCGCACACCAAGCGGCACGCGAGGACACCGGTACAAACTTATCGTACCGCAGTTGAAGCGGGTAGCTCACCAACTCTGTTTCGAACGTAGAGTGGTGAATACCTGGAACAACCTGCCGCAGCCGGTAATAGAGGCGAATTCAGTGGCCGAATTTAAGAAGCTTCTAGACAAACATTTCGCAGAGGCAAAATATAAAGAGCGGAACGATAATTAATAGGTTGATGTCCAAGAGCGACAATTGATGCAGCTACACAGAGTATGCTCTCCTCGCTGCTTCTAATCAGTATCAGTATCAGTATCACTCGTGACATCAACGGCTCCCGTAAAATGTCGTCTGGAATCCGAATGAATGATATTTGGACCTGGCTCACAGTGTCTGAGAGTACGCGATTGACTTCCGTTTCGATGGAGACATTGGCAACAACAGTATCTTCTGATTGCGGTTGTTCGTCTAAAAGTCGTGCTGGCGAATCAGACTGACAAATGTCGTTTGTAGATTTCTACTTAATATTGAAATCATCTTTATAAACGATAGGCCGTATACATTTAGATACCTTTGTTGGAGCCTAATATTATAAGAAGCGGTTTGTGATCCGTTCTCTAGGTAAACTGACGGCTATATAGCATTCTACGGAAATGCTTAACTGCAAACACAATGGGACGTGTCAAGCACTTGCTTTTATCTCGTGATAAATCATTGTTCACTGTTCTCAATTTAGCTATCGATTCCTGCTACTGCATTGAATGAACGAACGATGTGGGCGACCGGCTTCTCCGATCCGTTTGGAACAAGTTGCGAGCTCACTGCATTGACTCCGTAACTGCATGCATCAGATGCTACTACCATTGGGAGCTTTGCGTCGTAGTGAGTCAGCGTCATCCCAGAACTTAGCACGACCTGATCTTATCGAAGGCTTCTTAACATTCGATGGTCCAGACCCAAGGAATATTTTTCATCAGCAACCGGTTAACTAGTCCCCGGGAGTAGTGCATGGACGGTAGGTAGCTACTATAGTAACCCACGACGCCAAGGATAAATCTTAGAGTTGCCACCTCCTTGATTGGAGGCATGCTACTTATCGCTTTGAAGTTAGCCGGATCTGGTCGTCACCCATTTTGGTCAAGGATATAAGCAAAATATGTAATGGACCTTATGAAGACCTCACATTTGTCCAATCGCAAGCGTAATCCATACTCTTCAATTCTGTCAAGTCCATATTCCGTCCGCCGGCGTGTTTCCTCTGAGTTAGATCCCACGATTTTGACATTTTCGAGATATACTGTGGCATATGAGCATCGTATCCATGATCCACTGAGAAATTGTCCAGGCCGACTTAAGACAAATGACAGGCGGGTGTACTGGTATAGTCTTCGATTGGTTTTTATTGTTAGCAACCTGGATTCTTCCGACCTTTTGGCTGACTATACGCGTCAGTAAAGTCCGGTTTGGCAAAACATTTGTTACTTTCAAACGTGCAAAAATGTCCTCAGGCCGGGGTAGAGGATACTTGTGATCCTCTAACGACGTATTCAAGCCAGTAGAATAAACTGTACATAGACCAATCTTTCCATTTAGCTTCATGACAACTAAAATAGGGGATACGTAAGAAGAGTAATTCATCAGTTGGATAACTCCGGCCTACTGTAGTCTACCAAGTTCTTGATCGAGGACTGATGCGACTGCATGGGAAGACTGGCTTCGCGTCTGATTCCAGGTCCAAACTAGCGTTTGTCTTTGCGCACAATTTTAGACCATCCTTAAATGCTTGTGGAGACTTCCTCTACAGGATCTCTGTCCAGTTCACAGCTGCCTTGTTTAAAATTTTGCACATGGAATTCAAGGGAAAGTCCATCAGCTTTTATTGTCAATCCAGTTGTGACCAAGTAAGTTCAGGTTAGGGTGCCTTGTTACACAGCAAACGCCTTCCAACTTACAGTCCTTAAGAACTACAGAGCAATAAATTTCGCCGGCCAGGTTCAACACTCCTCCTGGTGCCAACCCGAGTTGTTTGCAGGATGCATGGTTCACCGATTTTATCCCATCTTTACTCGGGTATGGCGATGAAATCGAAGACAGTGTCATCTTGGAGGCGCACAGGTATTCTATTCCAAACTACCGTAACGAACCTTCTGCGGTTTGTTGCCCCTGCGTTAAATGTTTCAAAATTAAGATAAGGCCGGGATCGTTTTTTTAATGACTTTTGTACAAGCGCTTTAGAATACTTGGTGGAGTTGTTGATCTTGAAAGTAGTTGAACGGCAGTTATCCTCCTAGTGACCCCGTTTGTTACCTTTCTAATGGTGATGCTTATAAACGGACAGAATCTGACGAAGTGCCATTATCCACACTACCAGCATTCTGATGGCGGCCGGTTCGGCCTCATAGGTTTGAAACCTTCGTTGAACTTCCGTGTACATTTGAACCACTAGCACCTCGACGTGCCATGGACCGCTGAATTGGGCAAGCAAGCTTGTGTCATGTTTCAAGTTTATCAGCCTCTGGCATTCCTTGGTGATAGATAATATTAATGGAAGGTCACGCCCAATTCGATTTAACAACCTCATGCGTATTTCGGCGCCTTCTGCTACTTGGAGACCACAAATGAAAATCAGTGCCTTAATCTGATCGTCCGTCATCTCTTCTAGTCTGAAGACTCACGGTGACGGTTCTTTATACAAAACTGTTCTTATTTTTAGACATATACTTAGTGCGCTCAAAATGGATCGTGTTGAACCGCGCTGTTCAAGTTCCAGGTGCAATAACAATGTAGCGCCACCACAACACGCTAACTCGAGCAAGCCTGTACTGTTACAGTGGATAAGCTTTCCATCCTACTTTCTATATTGTCAAGACAAGCTTACAAGTCAAGCTAAGCTTTATAAACCTATGTGCGAGCATTTTCAGAAATAATTACTTGCTAGTCATTATCAGACGTGTTACCGAATGTGGAATTATTAATGAAGCCTTTTTATGCTTCTTATTGCGCAAATTCGCCGGTACTAACGATGTATGACTGACTAAAGCGATGAAGTATTTTGGTATACGTTGTTTCACTAGTTGTCCTCTTGTCAACTTTCACTTCTTGCCCAGTGAATTGAAGGATCGCCTTCTAGTGTTGGACAACGAACAAGTCGCTTACAGGCGATCAATCAGCGCAGAACAAGAAAAGCATGAGGGCCTTACTATGCTCGTTAACAAAAACGAAGCAGACCTGAACACAGTGAAGCGACGAATTCTGCAGCAACAAACGAAACATGAGGCAGATAAGCAGGCTTACGCGACATACACACGAATGCGCCAAGAAACGGAGCGCAATCTGGCCAATGTTCAGGCGGTGAGTGTTTGCTTTTCTAATAGCAACACCAACACACAGCTTTTCTTCCGTTTTTTCCTCTACACAATCGCAGTTGTAGCCACCGGTAGTTAGTTATCTCACCATGCGTTTCGGAATATCTCTAGGTAACAATTACAAACGGGAGCCCAAATATCACTGTAATAATACTTTGCTTCACTATGAATTCCCCTTCAAATGCTTGTATGCCCATTATCCGAGTTTTTCTTAACTTCTTGGGTAACAAGGATGCGAGGTCACGGTAGTAAGTATACACAATGCTGATCCCGTAAACGCTTAAGCAAAAGAGAATTGATCCATCTATTTGCTCGGAAATTAATTTTTAACGTTTTGCTGGAAGTTAATTTGTTAAATGTGACAATACAGCGTATGAACAAATGCATTCATACTAGTGTTTGTATAGTCTCTTTTCTGTTTCTAGTTTGTAGTACGGGTATATTCAACGAACGCATCTTTGTCAGGAATATTCTCATCTTCGTTGTTACACATTAGCTGAAAATGAGAAACACAACTGTGCCACAATAAAAACTGATAAAACAATGCGAGTTATAAAATCTTAAACAATACAAAACGGAAAGTAGTTGACACACTGCCTAATAACATCATATGCTTGAGAGAGAGATTGTAGTTGGATGGTAGGGACAAAGAAACTCACAATTCAGGCGCTATTAATGTCGGCTCCTTGACATGTCTACTAGTGTGTCCAACCAGACGTGTTCATAGTCATACAGTCCGCAGCATGGCTGTCGGGAGATACCAACCAGCACCGAGTTCGAAGTAAGGGACTTCATTCCTTTTGGTCAAATCCTCGCTTAGCCTCTCCTCTTCTTCTTCCATCCACATGCTGTGCGCGCAAACAACGCACGGTCCAGGAGTCAGTGTGCTAGCATGCGCAACATGTGGCCCAGCCATCGGAGACTGGTGCGTCACATAACGGCGCTGAGATGTTCACTTCCTCTTCCTGTACCATAAACAAGGCGTCGAAGAGATTCATTGCTCACGCGGTGTTCCCACCGGATCTGGGCCAAACTGCTAAGGCACCGGTGATCGAACGTGACTAGCCTTTTTATGTCTACCGATCTAATGGGCCACATTTCACAATCTTACATTAGAGTGAAACGCACAACTGACTTGTACACTCATGCAGAGAGTTATGTCGTCCCAGTCAAGTGCAACTGAGAGGCGTATGGTTACTGAGGACAAGTTTAAACGCCGGAAAATGTAAAAACAGTTTGAGATCTGAGTCACTAAAACAGCCAGTGTACATGAAATAAATGCCAACTTCTACAGCGGTATCCACTCGCCTTCTCTACCTCCGTGGATCCAAGTTGAAGCCCCAGTTACCTGTACCACAAGGGCAAAAATAATACGGGCTACCCCTCAGGTTCTATGCCCGATGGAAACTTTCAGGGGACATTTGAGGGCGGAAATCGACTGCGGCAGGCATCGCTAAATGTAGGGTACACAAATGCTTGTAGTTTAAGGAACAAGAGGGGGACTGGTGCTGCGTTGCCGAGGTGCTGATGCGGTTGCCTTTACAGAGACGGCTTTCTTCAACTTATTAAATAAATGCTTGTGTCCTAACCGATTTCTAGGGATACAGAAAAACCATCCAGGGTGCCAAAGTGGAGGTGGGGTGCTTTTGCTTATTTGTTCTCACTATAGTCATCCACTCACTATAGTCACCATGTGCACTCCAAGTGCTCAAGTCACTTCCCGATTTCTGAGAGTGAGTGATAAGGTCGCATTAATTGTTCGTGTTTACCATAGCCGATCCCCGACGAGAGGAGAGAAAAAGCAGCTTAGCGAGCTGCGTCCTTAGCGCCAAGCTTTGTAATGGTTGGTGACCTTAACCTACCACATGCCTACTAGTAGCATGCTCTCAATAGGGCAAATTCTTTTGTAGGGGTGACGTAGTGAAGTGGGTGCAAAAAGCACGCCTTTGTGCAGCACCTCAATTTTCCAAATAGAAGACGTAGCGGGAATATTCCCTCTTCCTTAGATGTCGTGATCATTAAACAAGGTTGGTTTTCAACATGTCATCCAAACGACGCGCGTAACTCCGCACTCGGCATCTTGTCTGGACCTAAGGTTTACTAGCTGCGAGCAGAAGCTGAAAGACCTCAGGTTCCTCGAACCTCTGGCGAACAGTGACCACTACTCCATTGTGGCAAGCATAAAACTGTCGTTACCATATTACAACCAACGGAAGCCGACATTCAACTACTGGAAGACCGACTTCATCGGGCTTGTCCAAGCCGCAAGTCAGACGGATTGGACACTACCACAGGCGGCGTCACTTGAGGCCTGTTGGTCATTAATGAAGGGGAAGCTTAACTCGCTGTGTACTCCGTTCGTTCCCCTGAAGTATTCAGCAATCGGACCTGTCAAACCGCATTGGTTTGCTACGGAATCTAGACATTTAGCGCGACGGCGTCGCAAACTTTGGTATAGATACATCAGCTCTGGTTGTGATGAAGATTACACCGTGTACAAGAAACAGCGAAACTTATGTAACGCCGCAAAGATCAAGAAACGACTGCAGTTTGAAGAGGAGCTAGCGTCCTCGGCCACAACGGAACCCAAAGGAATATTTGCCTACTTGAAGCGTCAACTGAAACCTCGGGGCGACCTACCGGTCTTAGACAGGTTGGACAGACAGACGCTCATTTCAAACGCGGAGTGCGCGGACACCTTGGCTACGCACTTCCTCACCGTATTTTCCAGTAAACCGGCGGCTGTCCCAGTACCGGCACAGGTTGCGCCAGTCTTGCTCGACAGCTTACAATGTGGTGCAGTCGAAGCGTATCACCTACTCGTCAACCTCGATGGTGCAAAGCCCCCCGGACCAGACAGACTTCACCCACTAATACTCAAGTCCCTATCGAATCTCATCTCACCAGCCGTGACATACTTATTCAATAAATCACTCTCTGAAGGACCTGTCCCCAACGACTGGAAATGCTCGATAGTGAGACTGCTTCCCAAGGGTGGTGATCCGAGTAAAGTAGAGAACTATAGACCGATCTGATTGACTTCGATATTATGCAAAGTTCTCTAGAAGGTTGTGAAAATGTGTCTGCTGTCGTTCTTCGAATCGATGGACGTATTGACGCCAGCGCAACACTTTACGAAAGGGCGATCCTGCATCACCAACTTGATGTACGCAAATCACCAGTGGGTGCAAGCTCTCAAAGAACGGAAGAATGTTGACGTGGCGTACATCGACCTTAGTAAGGCGCTTGACAGACTGGACCACCAGCTACCCCTTTGTAAACTGGGGATCTACAGAATCCGTGGTACGCTACTTCACTGGTTACACGAGTCTACTGTGGGACGAAAGTTTAGAGTGCTGGTCAATGACTACCTGACAAATTGGTTCCCATGGACCAGTGACGTGTCTCAAGGAACTTTACTTGGGCCAGTATTATTTCTTATTAATATAAACGATCTTCCGCAGCAGCTCCAGTCACCATGTGCCCTGTTTGCAAAGGATTTGACAATCTGGAGGATCATTGAGAACCAACAAGGCTGCGCTCGCCTCCAGCATGACTTAGAGTGACTGTCAACGTGGTTCACTGCAATGCAAATCCCTCTTAACGCAAGCAAGTCGGAGTTCATCAGTATCACCAGACGTCCAGCACTCGATCGTACACCTTGGACAGGCAGTTGCTCCACCCTAACACATCTGTCAGAGACTTAGGAGTGCTCTCGCGACATCATATGAGATCACTAGAAAATACAGAGAAATTGTACCATGCGGGACTTCGTGTGCTCTGGTTATTACGATGCAGTTTTTCCACATAGTCCTAAGAAACCGTCCCTCGCCTATTCACCTCACTCATTAGACCAATCCTTGAATACAGTGCTCCAGCTTACCATTCGGTAACCCAGTGAGAAACTGAAAAGCTGGAGAAAGTACAGCATCTCGCAGCTAGTATGATACCGAGTCTAAAAAATCTTACGTATGAAAACGTTGTGCAAGGCTCGGACTCAACACGCTTTCCTTCCGCTGAGTAAGAATTGATGTTATTATGACCCATCTAGTATCTTGAATTACTTCCCATACTGCGGCCAATATTTCACCTGTGGGAACCCTGTAACATCCGAGGACACCGTTACAAAGTCAGGGTCCTTGCATGAAGAATGGTATCACATCAGGCTTGTACAGAACGAGGAGCCGTAAACTTCTGGAATACACTACCAAAAGGATTAAAAGAGGCCGATTCTGTGAAGTGTTTTACTACATGTATCGACAATTATTTCGGAAACCTGTGCTTATGTGTGAGGGTGCACATACAATGCAGAAAATACATCCTGTACCCGGAAATAATAACACCAATACGAATTCCTAATCGATCGAGGGTAAACGAGTAACTGACCAAACACTATCGCTGCCGATACGCAACTAAATGTTTTTGGTTTCCCATAATTCGATAGAGTTGTACAAAAACCTTTCTGCTTGCTTTTAAATACAGTATCTCAGTCACAGAAGCTCTCGTCGGTAAGTGCGATCATTTGGTTATTTCATTTTCCACTAACGCCGTAGCTATCAGCTGAACATCGCTTGACGTGGAATCTAAACCGGATGCTTCTAAGGCAAAGAGCCATGAAGCTTACTTGGGTTCTTGAATAAGCATAGGCTGCTCTGGAACAGAGGTGGCATGTGAACAAAAATGGTCTCATACAGTTGCTAGAGAAATTTTCTCCCTTGCGCAGTATGCGCCAATCGGACAAGTCACGTTGATGATGCCGAAGAACTGCTAAGACGATGAAACGGCGTAATGCTCTATGAAAAAGTTTCAATGAGTCGGGAGGATACCATAGCTAGTTGGGCTACAAAAAATATCGCAACTTGGCCTTCATATTGCATAGACAGGTCAAATACTCATACTAGCTTAGGCTGGCGCCCAATGTAAGGACGAATCCTAAGCGCTACTACAGTTACGTGCAATCGAAGTCTTCCTTCAGGGAAGTTGTTG